ATGTTTAACTCAGTGACAAGCAAGGCGCCGAGACCGGGCTACGCGCAGCGTGACTTTCACCAACTTTGGCCCGATTTCCAAGAACTTGGGCGATATTTCCGAGTCCCAGAGACTCTAAACTAATTCGGCAAGACTTTGGTTTTTAGTGAAAAGGACAGAGGAAAAATTTTTGACCGCTTCGTTATGAGCAGTCTGGTCAAAATATAGCCCCTGTTAAACTCACTTAGTGACAAGAAAGTCGCCGAGACCGGGCTACGCGCAGCGTGATTTTGACAAACTTTGGGCCGATTTCCAAGAACTTGGGCGTTATTTCCGAGTCCTAGGGACTCTAAAATAATCCGGGAACACATTGGTTTTCAGTAAAATGGAGAGACGAAGAGTTTTTGAAAGCTTGGTTATGAGCAGTCTGACCGAAATATAGCCTCTGTTTAACTCAGTGACAAGAAAGTCGCCGAGACCGGGCTACGCGCAGCTTTTTTTTTCACCATCTTTGGGCCGATGTCCAAGAACTTGGGCGATATTTCCGAGTCCTAGAGACTCTAAACTAATTCGAGAAGACTTTGGTTTTCAGTGTAATGGACAGAGGAAACAGTTTTGAACGCTTAGGTATGAGCAGTCTGGCCGAAATATTGCCCCTGTTTAACTCACTTAGTGACAAGAAAGTCGCCGAGACCGGGCTACGCACAGCGTGATTTTGAACAACTTTGGGCCGATTTCCAAGAACTTGGGCGATGTTTCCGAGTCCGACGGGCTCTAAACTCATTCGGGAAGACTGGTTTTTAGTGAAAAGGACAGAGGAAAAACTTTTGAACGCTTGGTTATGAGCAGTCTGGCCGAAATATAGCCCCTTTTTAACTCACGTAGTGACAAGAAAGTCGCCGAAAGCTGGCTGCGCACAGCGTGATTTTGACCGACTTTGAGCCGATCCCCAAGAACTTGGGCGTTATTTCCGAGTCCTAGAGACTTCCCTAACTCGGGAAGACTTTGGTTTTCAGTGAAATGGACAGAGGAAAAATATTTAAAAGCTTGGTTATGAGCAGTCTGGCCGAAATATGGCCTCTCTTTAACTCACTTAGTGACAAGAAAGTCGGCGAGACCGGGCTACGCGCAGCGTGATTTTGACAAACTTTGGGCCGATTTCCAAGAACTTGGGCGATATTTCCTAGTCCCATGGACTCTAAACTAATTCGGGAACACTTCGATTTTCAGTGAAATGGAGAGAGGGAAAATTTTTTTAACGCTTGGTTATTAGCAGTCTGGCCGAAATATAGCATCTGTTTTACTCACTTATTGACAGGAAAGCCCAGACCGGGCTACGCGCAGCGTGATTTTCACCGACTTTGGGCCGATTTCCAAGAACTTGGTCGATATTTCCGACTCCCAGGGACTCTAAACTAATTCGGGAAGGTTTTGGTTTTCAGTGAAATTGACAGAGGAAAAATTTTTTAATCCTTGGTTATGAGCAGTCTGGCCGAAATATAGCCCCTGTCTAAGTCACTTAGTAACACGAAAGTCGCCGAGACTGTGCTAAGCGCACCCTTATTTTGACTTACTTAGGGTTGATTTCCAAAAACCTTGGCGATGTTCTCGAGTGTCAGGGACTCTAAACTAACTTGAGAATACTTTGCTTTTCAACAAAATCTTTAGAAAAAATAATTGAACGCTTGGTTATTAGCAGTCTGGGCGAAATATAGCCCCTGTTAAACTTAGTTAGTGACTAGAAAGTCGCCGAGACCGGGCTACGCGCACCTTTATTTTGACCTACCTAGTGTCGAGTTCCAGGAACTTGGGCGATATTTCCGAGTCCCAGGGACTCTAAACTATTTCGATAAGATTTTGGATTTCAGTGAAATTGACAGAGAAAAAATAATTGAACGCTTGTTTATGAGCAGCCTGGCCAAAATATAGCTTCTGTTAACTGACTTAGTCACTAAAAATTCGCCAAGGCCGGGCTACGCGCACCTTGGTTTTGACCAACTTAGGGTCGATTTCCGAGAGCTTAGGCGATATTTCTGAGTCCCAGAAACTCTAAGCTAACTCGGGAAGACCTTGGTTTTCAGTGAAATCGACAGGGAGAAAATAATTGAACGCTTGGTTATGAGCAGTCTGGCCGAAATATAGTCTCTGTTAAACTAACTTAGTGTCTGGAAAGTCGCCGAGTCCGAGCTACGCGCACCTCATTGATTTTTTTTCTTATCCAGTCTATAATATCGCGCATATTTTCTCGTTTATCGATGTGACAGATGCGTTATTTCGCTCTTTGGAACTTTAGGAATCCTAGGTGCTTATTTGCCCTGTTTTGGGCTCAGGCGATTTCCCGTGCCTGACATGCCTAGTCGACCTTTACTTTGGGTATGAGGTTTTTTTGTTAAGTGGGAGTGTGTTTTCTCCATCCGTCGCGTGCCCGCGTAAGTGTTTCACGCGAGGACATCTCTCGGCTTCAAAAACTTCGAGAGTGTAGATTCTTGCCGAACCCTTTTAGCTTTCTCTGGGTGGGTCATCGCGCGTTCATCGGCTTGACACACGCGGTTCCTCGCTCTCGGGGTCTTTGAGACGTTTGTGAGCTGATTTCCCCTTTTTTCGGTTTCGGCATTTCACTGCGTGTTACTTGCGTAGTCCGCCTTCATTTTGAGCAGAATGGTCCTTTTGGTCGTTCCTCGTAGAAAATCTTTTCTTTTTTACACAGGACCCCCTAGTGGTTTAAAGATCTTATGGGAGTTTTCTGTTTTTGCCCGTCCTCCCATGTTCACGTAAGTCTTTCACGAGTGGAGATCTCTCGCATTCAACAAAGCTTGGAGTATAGAATGTGCCCGGTCCCGTTTGGCTTTGTCCACGCGTGTCGTCCCGAGTTAACAGATGTGACACACGTGCTTTATCTCCCTAGGGGTCTTTGACATGGTTACGAGTTGATTTTTCCTCTCTTCGGTTATCGCTTTTCCACGCACGTTACCGAGCCTTGTCCACTTTCACTTTTGTGCTCTTTCTCCTTATGGGAGCTTACCTAGACGGTTTGAAGCTTTTATGGGAGTTGCGTGTTTTTGCCCATCCTAGAAAGTGTCACACGTGGACATCTCCCGCTTCAACAGCGATGGGAGTATAGATTATCTTTGTGTTTACCGGTTTGAAGTACGCGGTTCCTCGCCCTCAGGGGTCTTTGACATGTTTACGAGCTGATTTACCCTTTATTTTGGTCTTGGCGTATGCATGACCATATGAATTCCAACGCGCGATACACGCGTAGTCCACCATTAAGCAGGAGGATCTTTTCGTCACTCCTCGTAGATTTTCTTTTTATTTCTGCTTCACATGACCCCATCGACGGTTTAAAGATTTTAATGGAATTGTGTATTTTCGTCCTCCTTCGCATGTCCTCGCGAATTTTTCATGCGTGGTCCACCTTCATTTGGAAAAGCATCTGGTGTTTTACTTCTCGCGGATCATATTTGCTTTTGCCACAAGCATCCTCGTGAGTAAAACCATGAGAATTAAAAAAAAAACACGTATTTTTGCCATCTCGGGGTCTTTGAGACGTTTACAAGCTGATTAGTCCTCGCATTTTTTTTTCACCTTATTCATTTTGAGCAGGGTATATTAGCAGTGTTTGCCTGACTTCTTAAAGTGCTCGAGAGTTATGACTTTCTGCCAAGAAATAGAAAAACATCTATCGTGTGCATGAAAATCGGTGCCGAGTCCGGCAGATGTTCGATTTACAAAACAGCATGCAACCAGTAATTTGGCTACGACAGAGATGGCAATTAACATCACAATGTTGTCTGCACATAATGTTTTGGCTTACATGCTTATCTTATTAAATCCAATTTGCTACGTTGGTTGAAATCACATTCCGTTCGACACAAACATTTTACGGGAGTTCAATTTTGTGGATATTTTTTGGCATTTTGTGGTCATGAAATACTGGTTAATCTCCCTGGATATTAATTTTGCGATTTTCAGAAAGTTTTGTTGAATTGGATTTACAAAATTCTCGAGTCAGTTCTCATTAAACAAGCTACATACAATCGACATTATTTCTGGAGTTTTGTTTGTGGACCATAGAGACGTGTTAACTAAATGACACTAAGATTCTACATGCGATGTTTCTATGTATAATTCGCCAGTGGAGTAAATTTTTGCTGAGAAAATTTTTGGCGAGATTAATTTTGCGGGTAGTGGAAAAACTCGCAAAATCACAAAAAGTAGAAGCCGCAAAAATTTCGTGTCACACGGTAGTAAAATCAAGGTAATTAGTCACTTACGAGCTTTCCAAATTAGCGATGACTGTTGGTAACAAAGAGTTATGTTTCTTAACAGAGATCTATAAATGTTATCACGAGAGTCTTTTTCAATTAATAAAGATAATATTCTACAAAGCAAATGAGCTTAGTATAGATATGTTTATTGAGGTTTTCCAGAGCGACGAAAGTCAACTTTTAGTACTCTTTAAAACGTGGCAAGGTCAACATACACATTCTCCTTAAAGTCGAACTTATTCATTTTTCTTAGTGGGCTATGCAAATGGCTTCACTTGCTTTATTTCTCTTTTTTATGAGAGAAATAAGTAGCGTGTATCAATATTGTTTAAAACATTACATAAAACTTAATAGAATAGCTAAAACGTTTATATTTTATCATTATTTTCGAACAAATATATTGATGTGATATTGCTTGTATTTCCTTCTTCCAGCAAGGCCGTTGAGGTTTTAAAAATGAATGAATTAAACAAGAGAGCTTTGAAATTTGCATGCGTAATCAACAATGGCTAAGTTTGACAACTTCCAAACATCTTCAATAGATACGTTTAAATAATTAATACTAACCTCGTTAAGTATGATGACAAAACAGTTTTGCCAAAAGAATTAATTTCGTTTTTGGAACTCCGATTTCAATGATTACTAAAATGTTTTCACTACATAAGTGTTGACGTTTTAGTTGAAAGAAGAAGCATAATGGTGTGCTTAAACATTCTAACGCTTCTTTTGTTCGCACTTCTCTCATCTAAGATTGCGGCCACAAAGCTCCTGTGTGATGCTGTTACGCGTTCAAGGCATGGATTTGTCCTCAAAGGGCATGTCTTCAATTCATTTATTACAGAACGCGTTGCCTTTTGCTACAGCGCTTGCAATGCAAATCTAGCTTGTCAGAGTTTAAACTACAATCTTGGCAACAGAAGCTGTGAGTTCAATTCAGAATTCAGCAGAAGTCAGCCGCGCAGTTTTCAAGAGAATGTAATATACGTGTACGCTGACAATCCAGATCGAGGTAAGTGTTTAAAAACCCCAATCCTTAAATCAATTGCACACAAAAGTAAAAAGAGTTCCAAGCAAATAAATATTCTCGCTTCAGGTACAAATTAATGGCTAATGGTAAAGGGCAAAAGTTGAATTTTCACCGCTTCGCGTTAACGTTATTCTTAAGCTCCCTTTTCACCACGGTGACTAATCTACCAATAAGTACTAAAATATGCTTCCTTTTTATCACGGCTATTTCTTTACTAATTACCAACAAAACGTGTATTCTGATCACCATGGTGATTTTTCTACCAAGCAGCACCAAAATGCGTTTCTTTGTCACTACGGTACTTTTTCTATCAATCACCAGGAAAATGAGGTCCCTTATTACGGTTCTTTTTTTACCATTTAGCACCAAAACGTGTTTCTCTTTTCACCATGGTGATTCTTCCACCAGACACCACGAAATGTGATCTGGTTTTACAACGGTTATTTTTCTTCCCTGAATCACCACAAACTTCATTTCCTTTTAATCACGTTTATTTTCCTAGCGGTAATAATCAGACTGTTTTTGATTCCTTTTTTCAGCACAGTGACTTTTTTCACGACCAATCACCACCATCTCGCTTTCCCTTAACTTTCGACCACCGTTCGTTCTCTACTAATCCCATCAAAATGCTTTTCTTTTTTACCACGGTTACCTTCCGCCAATCATCAATGCCTTCATATCAACCCCCCTCATGTTTATTTTTGTGTGTGCATTTAATCCCTTTATTTAAAAGTGTAAAGTATTTTTGATATTATTGCATCAATTAAATAATTACACATATATTGGTTTACTACGTTAACAGGAAAGAAAGGATCTCAGTCCTCTGTACCAGGCCTCTCTTGTAAAAACATCAAAGACAGTGGAGATCTGGACACTAGCGGCACTTATTGGATTCGGCCTGTAGGCTTAGATGCCAGTTTCTTAGGATACTGTGAAATAACAGCGATCGGAAGTGAGTTTTAAGGCTTTTTATATATTTCTGAGTGGCGACGTTATTTAAAGAGTAAATTGGCTTCTCATAGTTCATGATCAGCTTAAAGAAAACCCTAAAAATGGGTTGAGCATCTCCTCTAAAACAAATATCATCTGTAGAAATGCCAGTTGAAATTCAGTCACATCTCGCACATTTATTAAACAAGTTTTTTTTTCTTTAAAGAGTGGACGAGAGTCACTCAGTCATGGATCGAGAACACTCTAAAGGGAGGAGTTACGCTGAGCTACAGTGAGGAAAGCAATGGCCTCGCCATCTCAGGTCAAGTGACGTCATATGGATGCGGGTCAGGAATAGCTTCCGGTGCGTTAACCATCATCAAAGGTTACTGGACTAAAATAAAGTACACACAAGAATTCCGTGGAGTAGCGTCATGTTGGAGCTTCTTTGGAAATAATTTGTACGTAATATTATTGATAGTCAAGTAAACTCTGAGGAGTTTTCTTGATTTTTATTTTATACGAGCGTGTTACCGTCTTGGTGTCGGAAACAAAATGTTTCGTTTAATGCTTGACGTCATGTTTTCTCATTATGACGTCATGAAAGACGTGTTAATGCCACTAAAAATTAACACATTTAGATGATTCTCACACTGATAGCGTAAACATCAACATTTGTCGAATTCAGTGAATGCTAGACAGATCATGAATTCTGTCTACCCCATTCATTTTGTTAGGCGTAATTAAACAGATTTAATTGAATTTTTCTCAATATGCAAATCAACAGCTCGAGTTAGCTCTCATTTGGTTAGCGTAATTAACAAATTCATTGAAGCAGAGCGATTTTCAATCGAGTGCCATATTGAACCAAAACTAAACCAATTACTTGCCAGCTGGACTACTCAGCGAACCTCAAACCGTAGTGAAACTAAAGCCAAAACCATAGCAATTGCCTGATTACCTTCGACAATCGATTGAAAACTTCTCTATGCAATTACACACAAATAATAATAACAGCTTTATTGAAGTTTCAATGTATTTAGTATTAACTGCTGATTGGGGACACAACAAAAAAGAAGTTAAAACTATTTACAATTAAATAAGTAAAAAAAGAAGTGTGTATACAATCAATCTGCAAAAATGTATGTATAAGTAATACATGAAGACAGTAGGCATATTATAGGTAGTCTTTAAGAATTACAGAGGTTACAACAATTATTGTTGTTGTGCAGAAAAGACGTGAGGTTTTTTTTCCTAATGTTCTTTTTGAATGATTCGATATTCAGAGAACCTTTCAATTTATTTATCTAGTTGGATTGTTTGGTGGTCCACTTAGGCCGGGAAACTATGAGGCAATTGAAGTTTGCATAACCAGGTCCCTGGAGCTTAAGAGAGCGCCATCCTCTTTTCTAGCGTCAGTCAAAGAGTATTAAAATCGCCGTGAGAGAGAATCAGTTATATCCAGCGATGCTTACTGGACATGTTGGCTTTTCATGAATTCCTAACAGTAACCATTCATAATCAAGGAATTCTTGGTGTTTCCATATACTAACTCAAAACTAACCAGAACCAACGAACATATGCTGAAAATCAACTAAGCATTAAAAATTCACCCGAAATAAATTAAATGATTTCTCTGAAGGTAGCAGAATTCTAAATTTGGGAGAACGTGTTTGTCAAAATATAGCTACCATGGGGACAATAAGTGACGTACTCAATTGTTCCGAGATAGGTTTCAGGTTAAGGGCGCATAAGCAGTTGTGCTGTGAATAGGAGGCACTGATTGATTTGTAATGCCTGTTCTTCTATTCAATCAAGGACTGGTGGTGGGTCAGTTAACAACGAACCAACAGGCGTGCATTCGTTTGACGCAGCTCAAGGAGACTCCATCACAAATCAGTACTTCATGGGAGGAAACTGTAAGTATACCACGTCATGTTACTCACGCACGAGTGTTCGTGCTGAACTAATATTTTGTTTCGTTCGAATGTTTAACTGTTACAGTATATTCACGACAATTTCTATCATTAGTGTTGCCACTAATGATGTAGAACAAGACATGCAAAATACAGCAGGCAATATAACCAAATCAAAACAATAGTTTCACCGGCGATGGTTTCAGCGTCATTAGATCAGCTAGTTAATCTGATAACCCTCCCCTCACAACTTGATCGTCTGGAGCAAATTTATATAAAAATGACATTTAATTTACTTAATAATTTACTTAATACGATAAAATCAGTGACAGGAATGGTTGTTACCCGACGTCAATAGTTAGGTAAAATTCAGAAAGAATGGTATTGAAGAGCAGCAACGAATATTGTCATCCCCCCAAACTATATCAATCGCAGATATTTTACACTCACTTTAGAATTAGACCATCTTCTCTTCTTGACATTTTGCAGCCCACGAGTTTGATGGTAAAACAAGAAAATGCAATAACTTGGCAGACAATTTCTGGGACAACCCCACCCCAAGCGTGAGGTACGCCACTGTTGTTCTTAGAAGACAACTGACTGCAAAACAGGCTGGAATTTTTACCGGTACCTCATGTGGCAAGCCAACATATAAGATCAAGGATATATACATCTTCTTTTAGGTTAATTAGTTTAAAAGCAATAGACATTACGTGTTCTGTGGGAAATTTTCAGAACGGAATATATTTATTCAGAACTTAGTTTCTAAACAAGGGATTAGCGCCTGAACCAAACAATAAGGTCGGGCGTAAGACTGAATGAAAGCTGTTTTTTATGCAAACTTTGCTACCGCATAAACACATGAGATAAAAGAGTATTCTCTTTCCCTTATTGACTCAGAAACTTCGAACTGGTTGGTTTCCCTGCATTCAAAGTATGCGGATAAAGGGTAAAACCATTTGATCGCAAATTCTGTTCAGCTAACAACAGTAAGTGCTTTATCATGGAAGTAATAGTTCCCAGATTCGGATACTTTCCGCCATCGTTGTTTTTAACGGGGAAGCAGGGTGGGGCCTTGGTTAACTTGAGATGTGAACGACTAATTTTATTTCATTCCCAAGGAGAGTCCCTCTGGTGTGTATAATTTATACAAACATAGCTGAGTGTTGGATTCGTTGATTTACAACTTGACTTTATTTAAAATGAAGCATTCTAACTATGGGAGAAAAGTTGATTTCCCTGATATTTCAAAACAGAGCGAAGGTTGCTTTACTTTCGTAACACTTATTTGATTCGCATTAGTTATCATCAAATTAAGGAGACTACCACCCCTCTCTTAAAATCAAAAACAAAAAGTGTAGGCATCTGTTTTATCCAGCTCAATTCTAAGAGTTCTAAGCAAAGTGTGAACAGCATTAATTTAATCGTCCTATTGACTAAGAAATTGACCAAAATCGGAGTTTGGTTTATTCTAAGATCTAAACTTCAACCAAAGTAAACACTTTTTAACGCTGTTCAACACTTAATCAATACTAACAATCAATATTTAACATTATTAAAAGCTTACTGTCATCCCAAATCCTANAGTGTTTGCCTGACTTCTTAAAGTGCTCGAGAGTTATGACTTTCTGCCAAGAAATAGAAAAACATCTATCGTGTGCATGAAAATCGGTGCCGAGTCCGGCAGATGTTCGATTTATAAAACAGCATGCAACCAGTAATTTGGCTACGACAGAGATGGCAATTAACATCACAATGTTGTCTGCACATAATGTTTTGGCTTACATGCTTATCTTATTAAATCCAATTTGCTACGTTGGTTGAAATCACATTCCGTTCGACACAAACATTTTACGGGAGTTCAATTTTGTGGATATTTTTTGGCATTTTGTGGTCATGAAATACTGGTTAATCTCCCTGGATATTAATTTTGCGATTTTCAGAAAGTTTTGTTGAATTGGATTTACAAAATTCTCGAGTCAGTTCTCATTAAACAAGCTACATACAATCGACATTATTTCTGGAGTTTTGTTTGTGGACCATAGAGACGTGTTAACTAAATGACACTAAGATTCTACATGCGATGTTTCTATGTATAATTCGCCAGTGGAGTAAATTTTTGCTGAGAAAATTTTTGGCGAGATTAATTTTGCGGGTAGTGGAAAAACTCGCAAAATCACAAAAAGTAGAAGCCGCAAAAATTTCGTGTCACACGGTAGTAAAATCAAGGTAATTAGTCACTTACGAGCTTTCCAAATTAGCGATGACTGTTGGTAACAAAGAGTTATGTTTCTTAACAGAGATCTATAAATGTTATCACGAGAGTCTTTTTCAATTAATAAAGATAATATTCTACAAAGCAAATGAGCTTAGTATAGATATGTTTATTGAGGTTTTCCAGAGCGACGAAAGTCAACTTTTAGTACTCTTTAAAACGTGGCAAGGTCAACATACACATTCTCCTTAAAGTCGAACTTATTCATTTTTCTTAGTGGGCTATGCAAATGGCTTCACTTGCTTTATTTCTCTTTTTTATGAGAGAAATAAGTAGCGTGTATCAATATTGTTTAAAACATTACATAAAACTTAATAGAATAGCTAAAACGTTTATATTTTATCATTATTTTCGAACAAATATATTGATGTGATATTGCTTGTATTTCCTTCTTCCAGCAAGGCCGTTGAGGTTTTAAAAATGAATGAATTAAACAAGAGAGCTTTGAAATTTGCATGCGTAATCAACAATGGCTAAGTTTGACAACTTCCAAACATCTTCAATAGATACGTTTAAATAATTAATACTAACCTCGTTAAGTATGATGACAAAACAGTTTTGCCAAAAGAATTAATTTCGTTTTTGGAACTCCGATTTCAATGATTACTAAAATGTTTTCACTACATAAGTGTTGACGTTTTAGTTGAAAGAAGACGCATAATGGTGTGCTTAAACATTCTAACGCTTCTTTTGTTCGCACTTCTCTCATCTAAGATTGCGGCCACAAAGCTCCTGTGTGATGCTGTTACGCGTTCAAGGCATGGATTTGTCCTCAAAGGGCATGTCTTCAATTCATTTATTACAGAACGCGTTGCCTTTTGCTACAGCGCTTGCAATGCAAATCTAGCTTGTCAGAGTTTAAACTACAATCTTGGCAACAGAAGCTGTGAGTTCAATTCAGAATTCAGCAGAAGTCAGCCGCGCAGTTTTCAAGAGAATGTAATATACGTGTACGCTGACAATCCAGATCGAGGTAAGTGTTTAAAAACCCCAATCCTTAAATCAATTGCACACAAAAGTAAAAAGAGTTCCAAGCAAATAAATATTCTCGCTTCAGGTACAAATTAATGGCTAATGGTAAAGGGCAAAAGTTGAATTTTCACCGCTTCGCGTTAACGTTATTCTTAAGCTCCCTTTTCACCACGGTGACTAATCTACCAATAAGTACTAAAATATGCTTCCTTTTTATCACGGCTATTTCTTTACTAATTACCAACAAAACGTGTATTCTGATCACCATGGTGATTTTTCTACCAAGCAGCACCAAAATGCGTTTCTTTGTCACTACGGTACTTTTTCTATCAATCACCAGGAAAATGAGGTCCCTTATTACGGTTCTTTTTTTACCATTTAGCACCAAAACGTGTTTCTCTTTTCACCATGGTGATTCTTCCACCAGACACCACGAAATGTGATCCGGTTTTACAACGGTTATTTTTCTTCCCTGAATCACCACAAACTTCATTTCCTTTTAATCACGATTATTTTCCTAGCGGTAATAATCAGACTGTTTTAGATTCCTCTTTTCAGCACAGTGACTTTTCACGACCAATCACCACCATCTCGCTTTCCCTTAACTTTCGACCACCGTTCGTTCTCTACTAATCCCATCAAAATGCTTTTCTTTTTTACCACGGTTACCTTCCGCCAATCATCAATGCCTTCATATCAACCCCCCTCATGTTTATTTTTGTGTGTGCATTTAATCCCTTTATTTAAAAGTGTAAAGTATTTTTGATATTATTGCATCAATTAAATAATTACACATATATTGGTTTACTACGTTAACAGGAAAGAAAGGATCTCAGTCCTCTGTACCAGGCCTCTCTTGTAAAAACATCAAAGACAGTGGAGATCTGGACACTAGCGGCACTTATTGGATTCGGCCTGTAGGCTTAGATGCCAGTTTCTTAGGATACTGTGAAATAACAGCGATCGGAAGTGAGTTTTAAGGCTTTTTATATATTTCTGAGTGGCGACGTTATTTAAAGAGTAAATTGGCTTCTCATAGTTCATGATCAGCTTAAAGAAAACTCTAAAAATGGGTTGAGCATCTCCTCTAAAACAAATATCATCTGTAGAAATGCACACAAGAATTCCGTGGAGTAGCGTCATGTTGGAGCATCTTTGGAAATAATTTGTACGTAATATTATTGATAGTCAAGTAAACTCTGAGGAGTTTTCTTGATTTTTATTTTATACGAGCGTGTTACCGTCTTGGTGTCGGAAACAAAATGTTTCGTTTAATGCTTGACGTCATGTTTTCTCATTATGACGTCATGAAAGACGTGTTAATGCCACTAAAAATTAACACATTTAGATGATTCTCACACTGATAGCGTAAACATCAACATTTGTCGAATTCAGTGAATGCTAGACAGATCATGAATTCTGTCTACCCCATTCATTTTGTTAGGCGTAATTAAACAGATTTAATTGAATTTTTCTCAATATGCAAATCAACAGCTCGAGTTAGCTCTCATTTGGTTAGCGTAATTAACAAATTCATTGAAGCAGAGCGATTTTCAATCGAGTGCCATATTGAACCAAAACTAAACCAATTACTTGCCAGCTGGACTACTCAGCGAACCTCAAACCGTAGTGAAACTAAAGCCAAAACCATAGCAATTGCCTGATTACCTTCGACAATCGATTGAAAACTTCTCTATGCAATTACACACAAATAATAATAACAGCTTTATTGAAGTTTCAATGTATTTAGTATTAACTGCTGATTGGGGACACAACAAAAAAGAAGTTAAAACTATTTACAATTAAATAAGTAAAAAAAGAAGTGTGTATACAATCAATCTGCAAAAATGTATGTATAAGTAATACATGAAGACAGTAGGCATATTATAGGTAGTCTTTAAGAATTACAGAGGTTACAACAATTATTGTTGTTGTGCAGAAAAGACGTGAGGTTTTTTTTCCTAATGTTCTTTTTGAATGATTCGATATTCAGAGAACCTTTCAATTTATTTATCTAGTTGGATTGTTTGGTGGTCCACTTAGGCCGGGAAACTATGAGGCAATTGAAGTTTGCATAACCAGGTCCCTGGAGCTTAAGAGAGCGCCATCCTCTTTTCTAGCGTCAGTCAAAGAGTATTAAAATCGCCGTGAGAGAGAATCAGTTATATCCAGCGATGCTTACTGGACATGTTGGCTTTTCATGAATTCCTAACAGTAACCATTCATAATCAAGGAATTCTTGGTGTTTCCATATACTAACTCAAAACTAACCAGAACCAACGAACATATGCTGAAAATCAACTAAGCATTAAAAATTCACCCGAAATAAATTAAATGATTTCTCTGAAGGTAGCAGAATTCTAAATTTGGGAGAACGTGTTTGTCAAAATATAGCTACCATGGGGACAATAAGTGACGTACTCAATTGTTCCGAGATAGGTTTCAGGTTAAGGGCGCATAAGCAGTTGTGCTGTGAATAGGAGGCACTGATTGATTTGTAATGCCTGTTCTTCTATTCAATCAAGGACTGGTGGTGGGTCAGTTAACAACGAACCAACAGGCGTGCATTCGTTTGACGCAGCTCAAGGAGACTCCATCACAAATCAGTACTTCATGGGAGGAAACTGTAAGTATACCACGTCATGTTACTCACGCACGAGTGTTCGTGCTGAACTAATATTTTGTTTCGTTCGAATGTTTAACTGTTACAGTATATTCACGACAATTTCTATCATTAGTGTTGCCACTAATGATGTAGAACAAGACATGCAAAATACAGCAGGCAATATAACCAAATCAAAACAATAGTTTCACCGGCGATGGTTTCAGCGTCATTAGATCAGCTAGTTAATCTGATAACCCTCCCCTCACAACTTGATCGTCTGGAGCAAATTTATATAAAAATGACATTTAATTTACTTAATAATTTACTTAATACGATAAAATCAGTGACAGGAATGGTTGTTACCCGACGTCAATAGTTAGGTAAAATTCAGAAAGAATGGTATTGAAGAGCAGCAACGAATATTGTCATCCCCCCAAACTATATCAATCGCAGATATTTTACACTCACTTTAGAATTAGACCATCTTCTCTTCTTGACATTTTGCAGCCCACGAGTTTGATGGTAAAACAAGAAAATGCAATAACTTGGCAGACAATTTCTGGGACAACCCCACCCCAAGCGTGAGGTACGCCACTGTTGTTCTTAGAAGACAACTGACTGCAAAACAGGCTGGAATTTTTACCGGTACCTCATGTGGCAAGCCAACATATAAGATCAAGGATATATACATCTTCTTTTAGGTTAATTAGTTTAAAAGCAATAGACATTACGTGTTCTGTGGGAAATTTTCAGAACGGAATATATTTATTCAGAACTTAGTTTCTAAACAAGGGATTAGCGCCTGAACCAAACAATAAGGTCGGGCGTAAGACTGAATGAAAGCTGTTTTTTATGCAAACTTTGCTACCGCATAAACACATGAGATAAAAGAGTATTCTCTTTCCCTTATTGACTCAGAAACTTCGAACTGGTTGGTTTCCCTGCATTCAAAGTATGCGGATAAAGGGTAAAACCATTTGATCGCAAATTCTGTTCAGCTAACAACAGTAAGTGCTTTATCATGGAAGTAATAGTTCCCAGATTCGGATACTTTCCGCCATCGTTGTTTTTAACGGGGAAGCAGGGTGGGGCCTTGGTTAACTTGAGATGTGAACGACTAATTTTATTTCATTCCCAAGGAGAGTCCCTCTGGTGTGTATAATTTATACAAACATAGCTGAGTGTTGGATTCGTTGATTTACAACTTGACTTTATTTAAAATGAAGCATTCTAACTATGGGAGAAAAGTTGATTTCCCTGATATTTCAAAACAGAGCGAAGGTTGCTTTACTTTCGTAACACTTATTTGATTCGCATTAGTTATCATCAAATTAAGGAGACTACCACCCCTCTCTTAAAATCAAAAACAAAAAGTGTAGGCATCTGTTTTATCCAGCTCAATTCTAAGAGTTCTAAGCAAAGTGTGAACAGCATTAATTTAATCGTCCTATTGACTAAGAAATTGACCAAAATCGGAGTTTGGTTTATTCTAAGATCTAAACTTCAACCAAAGTAAACACTTTTTAACGCTGTTCAACACTTAATCAATACTAACAATCAATATTTAACATTATTAAAAGCTTACTGTCATCCCAAATCCTATTACAATTTTAATTACTTGCTCGCTTTTTACCAAAACTGAAACAATTTATTAATACATATTTGCGTTGCAAACTATATTCCCCATTATTTTAACCAGCACTGATTCAATAATTTAAACCGTCCGAAACTTCAAACAAAAGCTTCAAGAGCCACGTGTATTTAACGATATCACAGTTCAAACAAATCACATGCAAATGCAGTTCTTTAGGCAAGTGTGTACACATTCCTTCATTAGCCTTTAAAAGATGAATCAGCAAGTCAAATACACAATGCAATGCGTTTTCGACTGCTATCCAACCTTTTTGTACATTTGTTTTATATATAAAACTTGGTACACTGAGATTTACATTAAAAAGTTACATTTACGCATAGCCTCTATCCACACGATAATAAAACTGAAAAATCTATGCTTCTGTTAGCCTTGTTTTAAGGGTTATCCCTTCCTTTGCAAGCCCATTTTAGGACTGTCTAAGGACCCAACCAATTACGTCACGCGCAGAAGGGAAGAAGGAAGGAAGGGAAAGTCTGGGCACTGATGAGGCACTTACGGGCAACTAATTGCCAACAACAAAACATTTCAAAATACGAGAATTTGTCACGGCCCGCCGTGGAGAAAACACCTGAAAAGAACAAATAAGAAAGGAACGTAAATTATTAATTTTTATATAATAACCAAATCAATGCGCGCGCTCTGCTTGGTCAATCAGCTATAGTTTATTGTGCCAGTAAACTCATGGAAATTTCGCGTNATAAATCACTCGCGATTTACGAATTCTTCTCGTGTTCTTCCAACATCCCGCGTGGTTTATCAGCCTATAAACCATAGAAACTAGTGGTCTATTGCTTAACTAACCCTATGACAAATATGCAGAGTTAAACAGCAAATAGCTCAGACTAGCAAATTAAAAAGAAGACAAGTTGATAGCCTTCTCTCTAGGATAACTCGCAGCCATGTTCAGCCTATCTAAGCTCAACCAAGTTAATGAAATTTTATAACTCAATTAATTAATAAATCAATCTAAGCAAACCTTTCCATTGTCTCACTTTAATACTGTGGTTCACTTAGAACTTCTGCTTGGATTCAAGTATTCATAAACTACTTGTCGTTTCTTGTTTCTGTCCAATATGGTTAATGCAATGCATTTCAAATCATCCAAGAATCTGCAAATGAATGCACCAGAGAAAAAACGTGTTTAGCTTAAGGCAAATGAGAAAGAAAGATTACAAGAGTACTGCTGATACAAAAAGAAAAGAGAGAAAGACGTGAAAAACGTTCAACTAGCTGAAGAGTCTTGTGTCTGTTGCATGTGATGTGCAGGGGAGTCAGTTCAGGGTGCCAAGGGTTTCCAGATCTTCCTTTCTTCGATATCGTGTTCATTACTCAGTTCAAGTGAATGCAGGTAATGCCCATAACCTGTAACTAATTTGATGGAAATTCAGTTATGATAGTTATTTGATCATCAGATCATGTTTTACCAAGAAGAACAACAGCAGTGATTTCAGACTCAGTTATAAATATCAATTCTCGAGAAGAACATTACAAACACTCAGTATTTGTGTGTTTTACCTAGAAATCGCTTTCTTGGCGACTGGATCATGCTGGTACATGGCATGGAAATCAGCTAATCCATTGGTATGTCTCTCTGAGAGTAGTTTGCTGATAACTATGATGTCCAAACATATGTTTTTAGCAGGAAGACACGCCACGATCTCCTTTTCCTCTCTCCATTTCTATAAAACGAAAAGGATACACCTCAAGTAAATAACTACACAAACACACTATTGAATGAACCCCTTTAAAAATACAACGGCAAAAAGGGATCGAAAGGGAGTCCTAGAGTCTTAAAATAGAAACTTTCTCGGTTGTCCGTTATGTTTCAAAAACAACCAAAAGCCTGACCAACCTTGTCTCTGGGCGGTTGTCCCTTTAGGATGGCGGGATAGTTTGGTAGAAATGCATACTCATCATACTGCGATACATTAACTGCAGCATGCCCGACCGTGCTGGCAAATATTATAGAAGTTATTGCCTGGCTGAGCTGTTCTGTGGTAGCGAACCTGCCCTCACCTGGAACGCCCTGAAATTGATAACATTTTCATACTTTTCTAGACCATGGAAAAGTGAAAGTTCACCATGCACTTCAGGTATAGTACTTCACAGTTCTACAACTTTACTTGCACTAAAGCACACATTGCGAAAGACTTCTCCAAACGCACAAAAAATCGTTCATATTCCGAGCCACTTCCATTCTCGCCATCGTTCGCCATACTCACTTCCTCTTGAGGTCCTGTCATTTTTCCAGGATACTGTTTTACAAAATTAAAACATTATTGCTGGGATCTATGATTTAGCTAGGATTTCTGACGCTGTATTCAAATTTGTTCATATGTCAGAGAAATATATTTCCATCCTCGCCATTGTCATTCATCCTCACTACATAATAGCTCCTGTCATTTGTCGGGTTCTACAAAATCAGGCCATTATTGTGGGGTTTTATGCTCTCTAGGTATGTTTTTTTAACTTTACGAAGTCGGGTGAAATTTAATGTCATTACTTTAATAATGCAAACTTGCACCACGCTAACTTCAAAAGTGATATAAAATTACATTTACTTTGCACCTCACCTTAATTCCACACCCAGGATTTCCATCTGCAACCAGTTCTAAGCCCCAAGCCTGCAGCTCATAATCTTCATTTAACTTTTCTTCTTCATCTGGTCGTGACAAAAGCAAAGCCAGGAAAAAACAAAAGCATCCAAACAATATACATTAATTGGACGCTCATTGCAGTTCTCACATGCCAGCAGGCGTGTACGTACCGTGATATTCATTTTTTCGTACAATAGGAAATTTGGCGACAGCTCTAATGACCCCGTCGTAAATTTATGGTGTAATGTTTGTAGCACTATTTGTCAGGCATAGATTTTGCCCCAAATGCGTCCTGAAATGCGTGAGATGCCGGCAAAATCCCATTCTACATTTTGAAGAACAATTTTTGGTTCGTTAACAATATCTCGATGTTACTGGTAAATGAGTCCTAACAGTTAAAACTCACCATATCGAGCCTCGATGATAGATGTGACGTACTTATTGATGGCGCTGTATAACATAAGACCATCATCTCTGTAAGGGTAGTCAGGGAGTACAGACGGATCAGAAACCTGTCACCATGGTAACAGAGTGAAAAAAATGTTAGTGATGTCAACTTAGAATGCGCTAGGAGTGGAGATGTTGTTGTTTAATTGTTTTTTAATTATGAGATGAAGAGGACAACAAAAATGACTGTATATTGTGATCTCAAACTTGGTGAATTTATCTTTTTAATTCTTAATTGTTCCACTTGTTTCGTATTTTATCGGTCTAAATAAACTCTGTGTCTAAGCGACTCACCCCTCTTTGCTCGAGGTCTGCTGGCAAGGTCCCATGTAGATCCATTCTCCACTCTTGCCATCTATATAAAGAAATTCACCAACCAATGCAAAGAAATTTAAAGGTTTGAAAGCAACCAGTGTTACCAAAGTTGATTGATTGATTGATTGATCGATTTCATCTCTTCTCAACTATTAGATATCAAGGACCTCATATATGGTCGAAACTAGATAATAAATTGAAAGGCTCCTCGAACATTGAATCTTTTAAAAAGAACATTAGGAAAAAAGGCCTAACGTCACTCTTAAACAACAACAACAAAAGCAGCTGTAACCTTTGCAATTCTTAGAGACTACCTCTTATACACCCATTGTTTTATTGTACAATTTACACATACTACATATTTTAATTTTATATACATTTTTATTATTCCTTATTTGTAAATAATTTAATTTTTTTGTTGTGTTCCCAATTAGTTGTGAAAACTAAATACATGACACATTAATAAAGCTTTTACTTTACTTTTACTTACTATTCTGACTATACAAAGTTTTTCATTACACCGCATAAAACGTACCCCAGGGCTATAAGATCCAGAGTTCCTTTTGCTCCCAGAGTAGTCGCGCTATCAATCCAAGAACCAGGCGCAAGCAGCTCGTTTACCTCAAAACTGGTGATAGAAGGGAAAACTTAATTTTCTATCGCTTCGCAAATCGTGTCTTTATTTCCTCGTCGTCCTGTATTTTGCCGGTCTAAGTGATCGAAAACGTTTTCATGCACTAGCTAAGAGGAAGAAGTGATCCGCCCCTAACAGACCCTGCCGGCATTTGTCTCTCAGACACCTAACCACATAAAATAGACCAATTTCGATATATTAAAATTCAGCCTAACACAATAGACCTCAGCACGAGGCTTTGGGAAATAAACCCAACAAACTCTGTACTTATTCCCCGGAGCCTCGTACTGAGGTACATTATTTTAGGCTGAATTTTAAAATATAGAAATTGGTCTATTTACCACCCAAGTTTGCCAGTTTTTCCAAGTTTTAAAATTCTCATGAGGACGTTGAAAGACGTTTAGTTAACATAAATAAAAGGTAGATATAAAAGCTATTTTCAGGTAATAGGTTATATAATTACCAGTTAACAGGAATCACGTGACGTATGTACGGTGCAAGCAATCTGAAGACTGGATGTGAGGGAGAAAGTTGGCGATGCGTTGCTATGGCAACTGCTTCCAAAAAGAGATGGGTGTAACCTTAAATTAAAACAAAACAGAAAAACTGAGAAAAAAAAGAAATATTCTTCTGAATACGTTTGTTTGGTTTTGTACCTTTACGGGGAATACACTGCTATAAATATTAAGCTGACGGCAAGTGAAGTGATTGTACCTAGCAGGACGCATGATCTGTGGTACTGTGCATCTGCATTGTTAAACCACATCTTTGCCAACATCCACGTGTACCAGGGATCGCTGGGAAGGAACACCTGACAGAGAGAAACTTTGCGTTGAGGAAGGACGGCCGTGTATAGTTTTGGTTAAAATTACCTTTAGAAAGTCAAAAAAAGAAACTCATTCAAAAGTGGGGCTTAAGTCAATAGCGATGATAAAAATATAAAAATAATGATCCAGATAACGGCGTCAGTGTAACTTGTAAAAACTGAGAATTTCACCGATCGATTGCAGAGTTGAAATCATTACCAAAAAAGGTGTAAAGCCGGCCTTTCAGTGAGTAGACTAATCTTACATTAGGTTATCCATTGCGTTAAAGTCGAATCTACACTTAACAGCAGTAGAAAAAAGATCTAAAATATCGCCAGTTTGTTATTGTTATTTTTTCTTTAATCCTCGAAAATTAATTCCAAAAAATTTGCCCCCGGTGGGACTCGAACCCACAACCTTTGAATTAGAAGTCCAACACGCTAGTCCATTGCGCCACGGAGGCGGTATGGGTTACATGAATAGACTGAGTAAATTTTATCGCCATCTAGTTAAGTTCAGAGAAAATATAATTCACCATACGGTAGAAGCCAGTAAAGGGGCGTACCAACTTTAGCCATGTCACAGATAGAACATGTGACATTCCCTTGGTAACTGAAGACAACAATAGAATAATCAAAGGATTGTTGTTATGGAGAAAACAGCCCTCAATTTGGTTCATGACCTTTCCCATACACCACATTCAGAAAGCGTACCAAACGGCAAGACGAGACTGCGCAACTACACGCCTTGATCCTTGAATCGTATTTCATAATCGTGAAATAGTTAACGTTTTCACCAGCACAAAGGTTTATGTTATGCATACCGGGTTTTCGTCACCTTTCTCTTGGAAAAGCTGAATAGCGACGGGAACAAGATAAGACTTTGCTGGACTCAAAAAGAATAACGCCATTGGAGAGACAACCTGCAAAGAGAAGAAAAAAACAACTCTGTTATACTATCATGATCTAATCCCAGTCCATGAGCAAGACTCAAGAGATACAATAACCAGCTTACAAGTGTACCTTACATCGGTCAGTTTGCAAAATACGTGAGATATACGCTGTCGAGGTCTGAAATAACGCATGTCTCATTACAAGGAACAGATATCTCAGCGACCTCCGAAAAGGCTAGTTAGCATGGGTCATCAAACTGCATCGTTGACCCAAAAAAGGTTATACCATGTCCGAATGATAAGAGCATTCCTTTGAAATAATCCGTAGGGGTGGATCATGAACAATGATGCAAGATAGTGCATTAAAGAAACTGATGAATCAAGTCTGACAGGGAATCATCGCCATTCCTTTATCCCATCATGATCAGAGTGATCTTGGGATCATTGTTCCTGATTTGGATCACCCCTAAGGAATGCACCTGCCGGAAAAAGCGAACAAAAAATGTCTTAAATGTATCATATTTGTCTGTAATAGGTATGAATGTTGGGTGCCTCTGGACTGACACATTCTCATCTTTTCTATTTTGAATTTTCCAACCTTTTTATTTTCATCCAGTTTTAAGCGACTCAGGATTTCTAAATCAACAATAAAGATCCTGTTTGCTGCCAAGGCAGCGTCCATTGTTTGTCCTTCTAGAAATGGCTCCAACATAACAGCAGTAACTGCAAACCTGCAAGAAAGCAAATTAATTTAGTCTGTGTTGTTTTATTTTTTAAATAAGCATCAACAGCCAATGATTAAGAGCATTAATTTTCTAAGCAACACAAACGAACTCCATGCTAAGTTTAGTCTAAAACGAAATTGTTTAAACAGTCTTTAAACCGAATCTACTCACTTGTCAGGTATCTTTGAGCACAGACGAATCAACGTTGGATTGCAGCCGCACAATCTCTGTCTGGCAAAATGCACATCATCCCGCCAAAAATTCCGCCCCTGAGAAAAATGGAAATCATGAATGCATTCTACCCTACAAGAAATACCTGTTTCAGTATGCTTTTTGTTGCTTAGCAACCACTCACGGACATACCGGCTCAGGGTAAGGCTCAGACACTATCAGGCATGCGCATATTTCACTTACCGCTGGCTTGCCGAACTTTCTGTCAAAAATTTCATCAAAGTCATGAAGTGAACTCCACGGTTCAGAGCCATAGTCTGGCAGATTGTATTTGCTGACCAAACTAGCTCGTCTAACAATGATATCCCACTGAAAGACAAAACAAAAACCTGATTTGAGTCTGTTTAACTATGTTCGTTTCCCAATCAGATGTATCATATGAGCAGATCAGATGTACATATATAAGCAAAGTTATAAATAGTGGTTGGGCCAATTTTTAACTCTTTCTATAGGCTCCAGGCTTACCAGACCCTCTATGAGACACGCCTGCAGGGAATCATGGTAGTTGTATTCATCACTTTGGACTGGATATCTGTTTTGATGAAAATAACTACCAGGATTCCTTGCAGGCGCGTCTCATGGAAGAAATTGGCCATTGTTTCATTACTGCGTATTAAGAAAGAGGTGGCCGGCCAAAAACCAGAAATGAATTTTTTCATTATTAATGCGGCTTAAGAAAGAGGAAACCGCAAACTCTCTTCGAAAATTCGATTATATGGCGTACGGGGTGTATTTAATTCGTGACTCACTTGGACACCACATGTTAAATAACAGGTACAGTTAAATTTGCGGCGTTTACGACAACCACGAAAACATAATATTTTGCTTATGAAAAAACCAGTTTTGAAAAACAAAATAAAACACCACAAAATAAGATCAAAAACGGAACGTTGGAATAATGTGAAGCCCCCGTGGCGCAATGGACTAGCGTGTTGGACTTCTAATTCAAAGGTTGTGGGTTCGAGTCCCACCGGGGGTGGTATTTTGGCTTAACACAATATGGAGTTCAAAGGCTTTTTCTTTATTCACACGAATAAACTAAGAGCAGCCTTTTTTCTTTGTCCGTTACGAGTGACGCAAAAAATAATTATGCGAGTTGAAAAAAGGTGCCTTTGTGCGAGGATTTGCGTCTTCTTCCGCGTCATTCCGCGCTATATCCGTGTTCATAAAGGGCACAAAGTTACAATATTTATTTGATTTGCGTCGTCTTTAGAGAGAACATAACATGGCCGCGCTGGGATACGGCATTTAACTCTGTTAATTGCTGAAGGTATCTCTCCGGAGTGAGCGCAGCGAATGATTGAGAGATACCATCAGCACGAGAAGAGAAAGTTCGCATTCGGGCCGCGCGGCCACGTCATGACCTGTTTATCATGTGGATATGGAGGAAACATCCAAATCAAATTAAATATCTCAGGTTTTTATTTCTTTTGAAAGCATCAAAAACAATGGTCACCTTAACTGAGATCGGTACCGTAATCGAAGATCAGTGTTTAAGCACACAGACAGACAACCATTTAAGCAACACGCAAAGAATTAGTCTGCTTCTCAAGAAAATGTTATTTTCTGTAGTAGCAAAGTCAAATAGAACTTCAATGATGCTGGAAGAAAAATTATACATGTCCGTAACCATGACGACATGGATATCCTCACATGTGAAGGATTAAAATAGTAACTTCAATGCGAGCGACAAATATATCAAATTTGAATGAGCTACATTACAAGACCGGCTTGAATGAGTGACATTACAGGACTGACCTGGTGATTGTGGCTGAAAACCTCTTCTTTTGGACAGAAGCTGATCTGAAAAGCAACACACCACATGAGTTGTACTCAGTCATAACTGAACTACGCATAGCAGATTTGTCGCTTATAAAAAAAAGGGGGCGAGTGCGAGTAGACTGTCTGACGACCCAAAATCGAACACCTGATTCATGAGATGTTCTTCGAGCAGATCCCAGTGTTCGTTAAAAGTGAGGGTTCGATTTCTTTAACGGTTTGCCATTGTGGATTTCCAAAACCCAAATGAATTTCATGCGTTTCAAAATACACCCAAGGTGAGACTCCGAACGCCACGGGGGTGGATGAGTGGGGAGAGGGAGGAGGCTGATGTCGCAGGGAAAGTTTAGTGATGTCAAAGAATCAGTAAATCTGAAACTGTGATCAGCAATGTCTAACTTTCTCAGCCAAGATATTTTAAGCCGTCCGAACTAGCACTGCCCATAAAAAAAGTACATTTGTAGTTCGTTTCAGATACTGAGTGACGCAGGATATTAACCTGCAAGCTAGCACTCATAAACGTCCGCTGTTTAAGATGGCGGTTCATCCACGGCTCTAGCTAATAAGCCAGCAAAGTTGTTCCACTTGGCAGACCATCATGCATGACACCGCGCAACATTTTATCCACTCTCTTAGTATAAACAAAACAACCTTAATTATGCAAATGATGGCATTAGGAATGAAAGCTTCCCCAAAAGACGCTATCCTCTAAAGCGAAAAAAGCTTCAAAGTTGGCGTTTTTCCAGTATCTACAGTCACGGACGCTGAACATTGCCTAGCGTCGCTATAAACACTTCCTACAAAATGATATTTACGATAGTTCGAGGTTTCTCTATAAACGACTCAGTACATTATGCGCGAGTTCGCTTAGGCACATCATCAATGCGTAATTTCATACAAGATCAGGATTTCAAGACAAGTCTCGAAATTAATAAAAAAGTGCAAAATTAAATTAATAAGCAAGCATTAATTTTTCTGTTCTGTAGGTCTCTCACCTGTGGTGGAATTCCAGATCTTCTTCTGTAATATCGATACATGGTTCTTTTCCAAAATAATTCTGTTTCTCTTTGCTCAGTCTCGATATCAAACTGAGGTAGAGCGCTATCGTACATCCTCAGTATTAAAGGATGCCAGTTTTTAATCCATCGATGGCATGGAAAAATAAAATCCTCGAAATCTTCTCCATTGTAACGTCGAATCTCAATCGTTTCGATAAACCACTCTACATAATTTCTACGATCTGTCGCGTCGCGTCGGACAAACTCAATCTTGCTAAAACGTCCGATTTTAATCGGTTCACAGAACTTGAATGTATCCGTGTGGCCTTTCTTGAACACTGTCACACAACACCCTTGCAAGCATAACTCTTTCGACCTGTTTCCTTTCTCGTCTATTATCGTTAGAAAAGCTGCGTTGTGCAGTCCTCCGCCCTTTGTGTCTCCAGTTTTGACGGTTATCACCAAACCAGGAATATCAAAACAGTTACAGCAATCCACGGTGTTTCCCATTTCATTAATCCATCTCTGAACAGACCTGTATTTCAGTTCCAACAGGTGTTAAAATTAAACGGACCGATTCGCGCTAAAATAGATGACAGCCAAAGGTAAGGGCGTTACAAGTTACCAAAGTTGAAGAACATTCTGTCCAGCTTACATAGAGTTGTTGTTTGTGAAGAACTGCGCTCTTTACTAGCGTCCGTCAAGTTCGTAAAACTATATCTTCTTCATGCCAATGTAAATGAGTCAATCCACTGAATCCAACTTAGATTTAATCACGTTTGTGGCCTGCAGTTTAACTACACATAGCAGTAAAATCATTTCATTTTCTCTTCAGCAAACCGGATCCTTGGATTAATGCAGCGTTGCCCTGAATTATACTCCACAAAAAGCTTATTTATACTGATAATGTACTGTGAGATAAACTAAGCAAACAGACTCCCAGCCACAAGCAACAGGTGGGATACTGCTTCTTCATGAATTTTTAACCATTTTGTCAGGAGAAAACCGCTTAAGGATAATTATAACTAAGGGACATTTTCATTATGAAATTAAGTAGACAATTCCTGAGAAGCAGGATTCGTTTCTTAAGAAATATGAGTGGGCAAGGCCCCCACGAAGTACTGACATTAGAAACTAGCCAGAGGCCTACTTTTTACCGCTCATTGTGCAGGTATTTGTTAAGCTACTTTTAACCTTCTCATTCCCATGGTAAGAGATTTTAAACCGAATTTAGGAATGTTCGTTCAGCAGGTTTAAGACACCGTGTGTCAAAAAAAAGTAGACTTTATGTTCACTACAAGTGTATCAAATTAACTGATGAGCTGCTTGGATACGACTGAGGTTGAAGTTAGTTAGTAAATTAACTATTGGTAATGCCGGTTTTTCTTGTAGCAGAAACAAGTTGATACCGACTTGTCCCCAGAGCCCGCGCTCCTTTTGGTCAGCACTTAGAGCGATCTAGCACCGGAAGTCCGCTATTCCCTCGCTTTTCCCACTATTCTTACTTTTCCCTTCAAATCTAATAGATCCGATGGAATACGAAAGGAACTCTCTGAGTATGCTACCAAAATCGGGTCTAGCTGGGCAAAAGGATGGCGGCCTCGGGGGATAAGATTGAAGAATTGGTCCAGACTGGAGTGGCGAAGCCAGTTCATTTTGATCCCGTCGAGCGATCCCGTCTGTTTTAAGCTCAAACATCAACTCTCCTTACTATTAAAGTTCACAGATTTTTTTATATTAGCAGTGAAATTTGAGTGGTATATTACAGAGACGAACGGGGATACGAACATTACAAGAGAAGGTTCAGTTTTCAAGTGACTCAGGCGACTTATCCGAAACTTCGACTAAATGTAAACGCGGATCGCGGGCGCAGAACGAACGGGTGCGAAAGTCCAAGCTTTTCGCTTTCAGCTTGAAAACTTATTTTCAGTGCCAGTCATTATACCTCTAAATGTTGTTGTAATTTTGAGCGATCATGGGATAAAATCTGTTTAGAGCGAGCCGAAATCAGAAAGCTTATACAAAAATATATAACTAAAATTCTCCTACAACTTCTCATGACGGCCCTGTGGCCCAATGGATAAGGCATCTGACTACGAATCAGGGGATTCCAGGTTCGAGTCCTGGCAGGGTCGATGAAATTTTTTTTCTCTTGCTTTTTTCTTTTTTTTCTTTTTTTTAATTTTTCTTTTCTTTGCTACATAACTGAGAAGGCTGGAAACTCTCAAAACGTTACGTCTAATTGTCCCGTATTAGCTGTGTTTATGGCTTCTGCATGTCCGCGACCAACGACTCGTACTCGACAACCGTAACCCCGAATTAATGGTTTTAATAGTTCTTTTACGTCAGATTGCATACCAAACAACGAAAACAATTGTTCTTTCATATTAAAACCCAAACCAATATATTCAAAGGCAATACTTGAAAGAGAGATTTTCGTTTTTTAAACGCGAAGAGGTCAGTAATGATCACCTTAAAAACGCTGGACTTCTGGAATAGAGGACACCCGGAGCGGAGTACAGGTTGTACGATGTATCTAGACGGAGTAGCTCAAGCTATGGCATAGGGTCATGCAGGCTACAGTAACATAACAGCTATGTTAAAATGATTCTTCATTTATTCCATGAGCACACAAAGGCAGCAAATATTAATCTTCATCGTAGAGTTGCTCAAAGTGCAAGCAAGTAAAATCTTCAAAATGGTAAAATGAGCTGCAACAATTTTTTAAAACTACATGCAGCGTGAAGGAAAAGAAAGCAATTAACTTAACTAATATGATTGCTATTGACATCGTTAATGCAACGAAGCACTTCTCACTAAAACAGCAGTAAAACCAATCATTCGCTGTGAAAGGACTGAACTTTCAAGTGCAATTAATATAAACTGTGGCTAAATGAAAATGGTCACAGACTGGGATTAAAGTAAATAAATTAGAAAGGATCACTGGTGGCTTGAAAACTTCAAAGTTCTTTTATTATAAAATGACTGACTAAGCTCTCTGGTTGCAGAATACTTGTAAGAATACAGCCACAACTAAACTTAATACCCAAATAGAAACACATTTGAACATTCTTCGATATCATAATTCTTGCTTCTCTTTTTTCACACAGTCCTTAGTATATTCGTTGCACAAGTAGTTGAGTAGATCCTTCGATTTTCTGTACTCCATATAAAGTTCCTCTTCTCCAATGTCTCCAACCAAATTACTACACTTCTGAGCAAGTCTGGAAGGCAAAGTCACAGAGTGTATGCTTGGTTAAAGCAAAGTCACAGATAGTATGTTAAATATAAAAGCAAAATCACAGAGAGTGTGTTTGATAATATTAACCAAAAAATGAGACATGGTACATGGAGATTGCTTTGAAGAACAGCAATAAAGAACTAATTTATACAAAGCATGATAACTGGACCCACCTGCCTGGCCATTTTCCACCACCTTGCATCATACCAGGAAAGTCCTTAGCTTCAAGACCTGGTCCAGACAAACGGTTCACTCCATGAACTGTCTTTAAGCCATAGCTGAAAATCACAAGTGTACAAAATCATGCAAATGACTCTTCCTGTGCAATTTCATACTACAATCAATCAATCAATCGGTTAATCGATTGCACAATCGGTCGGTCGGTCAGTCAGTCAGTCAGTCAGTCAGTCAATCAGTCAGTCAGTCAGTCAGTCAATCAATCAGTCAGTCAGTCAGCCAGTCAATCAATCAATCAACCAACCAATCAGTCAGTCAGTCAGTCAGTCAATCAATCAATCAGTCAGTCAATCACTCAGAACCTTTATCAACATGACAAACCATTCTAGTACAGTGTACCTACTGGAACTCAAATCAGGGACACAAAGTGAAACTAAACAAAATAAAATACCGTTGGATTAAATTTCTTGGTTAAGTTTCTTTACTTGTCATGCAGGTTTTATTAAATTTCCACAATCATGTATTGAAAGTTTTGGTGCTTATTCTGGAGTGACTGGCTACATGCGATCACTCAAGTTTGCATCATTCCAAAATATCAGTTGTTATGTACTGGCATTACGACATTACCAACTGGTAACTATGGAGTTGTATTAACTGAAAGTTATACCGTAATAACTTTTGATTTCCTTGCTTATTATAACTTGTGTAAATTGTACAAGAAGCCATGGAAATAATGAAGTTGAAAAGTGACCAAATAACTTACTCATCCCACGACTTGTCACAAACAGTTTCAAACACATCAAGGATATCAGACTCTGGCAAAGGCTTTCCTTTCAGGGATGGCCTCTTTTCTTCAGCTTTTTGCAAAGCTTGGCTCATCTATGAGAAACAACCACTCTCAGGTCAAAGTCAAATACTAATGTAAACAATAAAAAGGACAAATACTCTGACAGAAGGACAACAGCCAAGCAAAATTGTATGGGAAATGAGAAACTGTTGTCCTGTAATTGTTAGATAGAATATACTAAATCTCCTTACTGGATACATCTATTTTCTTTTAAGATTTTAACTTAAGACTGACAGGGATATATGAACGTGCCCTCATTGCTATTCTAAAGCTGATCAACTCAAGTCAACACTTTTCGGTCTGCATTAGAGCTGGCTCAGTTTGGAACAATGCAGCTCTTTAACAATTACTGAAAAAGAGGGTTAATCTCAGTGTAAAAACCCATGATGCTTTTGTTTGTTTTGTAGCTATTGTTAGGGTTAGGATCATAAAGGATTCTCATACCTAGAACTGGTCTGTAGAAGTTTTGAACACACATGGGAAAAATTAATAACAATTCTCAGAATTGGGTAAGGTTCAAGTTTTAAAAGTTATTAGAGCTTTTGATAAATGAACCAATTTACTGCAAAACATTGGAGGAAGTGACCCTTATGCCAGGTCATCTATTCATAGGCTGAAAGTTAGCGGGTAATTTATAAGTTCAGCCGCCTTTAATAACCTTAAATTAATCGGCGCATTTGTGCTGAAAACGTAAAAATTAACATCACAACAAAGTGCAAGAAATTGATCAGATAAGCATTTTTCACACGTCAGGGACGAAAGTGTCAACTTGGGACAACTACAATTACCTGATAAGCGATCGCGGTACAAGCATCACACGTCATCTCAAAGGACTTAGGAGTGTGCGGTGAATGTTGTTCCTCTTCATTCATTTTCGGCGTCTCAAAGCGCATTGGTTGCCCGTCCTGGAACCCGAGAGCTCCTGAACTCAAAAAACTGACGAATGAACACAGCAAAACACCGCGAAAAGCCATCTTCTTTGCCACCGTTCCCTTCCAAAAAAGACAACGACGCTTGTACAGAAGTGAACTGTTATCAAACGTGTCTAAATATATCAAATCATAAATAAGTAAACAGCTTCAAATGTAAAATAAGGAGGACAACAAATCGTGCTCCGCCACGAGAAAGTGTAGCAGTTATCCTTTGGCGGGAAGCCGCTGTACCTGTTGTGAACGCGATTCTTACTGCTCGGTTACCAAGCAACTTTTTGCCACGTTGCGCGCATGCCTACGAATAAATTTACGTAAAGAAACAAAGATGGAGTACTTGTCGAGGGGATTCAAGTCTGTTTTGGGCAATCAGCAGGCCGGCTCTCAGCCGTCCGCTCACGAAACGGTGCGCATTCATGTGTTTATTCGTGATCTGTATCGTGTGACTCTCTCTGACATCGATTCTTACCGTGCATATTCATTCAGGTTGAGAGATTGTGTGACCGTGTTGCTTCCTCAACACTTCTAGAAGACAGAAGAGATGCTGTCCGGGCTCTCAAGTCTCTTTCAAAGGTTGGCGCATTACCTTAGTCTCCTTTTTTATCCAATCGTTTTGTCAGGATGTTTTGTAGATTGTGCATGTGGGCTGAGTATAAATAATAAAGTTAAGTGCATTTGAGCAACGTGACGGTAGATTAAATTATCATGTACATCCCAGGTTTCATTGAGAATTTAAAGTCTTCCTTGTTTTAAAACCTGTCGCATGTTATCACGTCTTTTATTAAACTTTGGTGAGGTGTGATCCTGTCCCTCTCTTCCTCCATGGGGAAAGGAACATTGCATGACTGTCTGGGGTATAGCCAGGGTATTGCTTATCATGAGCATTGTACTGACTGGCCAGTTTGTTTAACATGATTAAGCATTAATGTTGATATGTTATATCATCATGAACAAACAAAAACAACCCTGTATGCAGAGTATGTTGCAAAAAACTTGCATTTTTTCTTATAAGTTTTGTGTCTAGTAGAGTCCCTGTGTGGCAAAAGAAATAGACCAACTTGGATTTATTAAAAATTCTAGCATGGCACCAAGGCCTAGAGGAGTAAAACGGAAGAAGTCACAGAAGTGTATAATTTTCGTCGGTCTTTAATTTGTTTCATTCCCCTAAGCCTTAGTACCAAGTTTGATGCATCAAAATTGCCTGTTTAGTTAACTAAATAGACTCGAGTTAATAAAAACAGTCCTTTTTAACAGCCAATCAAGTCAGCAACCAACTTTCATTTACTGTACTGTTGGCTGTGACTAATAAGTACCAGTATTTGTTCTCTTGGTTGTGAATTTGACCAGTACCAGCTCTTTCTTTTGGCTACTTGTGCTTTTATGAGGGAAATCATACTTAGTTCCAACCATGAACCAATTGAAAATGATTTTTTGTTTGGTTTCAGAAATTTCGTTTAGAAGTTGGAACACAATCAATGGATCTTCTGATAAATGTTTTACAAACAGACAGGTAGGTTTGTTAGGTGTCATATTCATCTGAGAAACAGACAAACAAACTAACAAGTAAACAAACAAACTGGAATAAATTTTTAAGTAGCCATAGAAATTTACATTCCTTAACCTTTGCAACTAGTAGAGTTTTGGATTATCATTTTGAAGTGTCAAGCTTGTATCAAGTCTACACTGTAATTGTTAATATTTTTATTTCTACTTGTACCATGTTAGAAATGATACAGAAATCACTGGCTTGGCTTTACAGACTCTCTGTAATCTTCTCTCAGCAGATCCAGTCCAAGGTAGGAACAGAAAAGAAAAGTTAACTGTACATGATTCACAATGGAGTGTAAATTATGCAGCATAAATCTCTTTGACTCCAGGGACTCTTTCTTTAGCGTTAAATCTGTCAGCCTTGTGTACATGTACATATCATGGAAATATGTACAAGAATGCAATGTGTGTTTATGTAATAATTTCAGGGTATGCTGTAACTGTTTGCCCAAGCCTTTGTTGTTTGGAGCATTCAGGCTCTCTGTAATAATATTTTTCAAAGAGCAAAGTTTTGGTCAGGATGAATTGAGTACACACCAAAATTGTACTGTGATAATGAATCAAATTTATTATATTTAAACACTGATGAAATACCGGGTGATCTTTTGTATGAAAACATGATATCGTCACACATGAAAATAACATGTTATTTTCACATGTGAAAACATCACATTGCAATGTAACATAATAAATGGTGCCTTTTGCAGTGAAAGTTAAATGGTTTGTTTTTTCATTGGTGTTTATATGATAAATAGAACATTACATGGCAGCTTGAAGATACAAAATTTTTTCAACACTTGAAGATAAATTTCATATCTCTGAGTGGCCATGTAATATCCTCTGTGTATCTACAATATGTAAAATTAAAATTGAGATCAATGCTATTTTTCAGCTGATGAGGGCGGTAGGGACGCTGGTCAGACAGCCTCAGATGCTGAGTTAGGAGTTCAGTTTACAGAGATCTTTATCAAGAAAACTGATAATGTGACTTTGTTGCTTGGTCTGTTAGAGGTAAAGAAACTCAATTGTTGGTAAAAAGGAATTAAATGGTTGTCACTGGCTAAAAATATGGTTATCGGACGTTTCGGCCACTACTGTTGCCTTCTTCAGCAAAAGATGGAAAATGCAAATGTTAAACGGCGTCCTGCTAGAATATGTAAAAGGTGTGTGATAAAACTAAATGAGTAATAGTCTCTAGAGTATTCTTAATGAGCGTAAAAATTCTTAATGCTATTGTACACCATTGGTAGCGCATCGTGGTTTTGTCATCCTCCCCTATGCCAAAGGTTTTTCCGAAAGAGTCGCAAACGTTCTTCGAGGTTTCAATATCAAGGTCACCCATAAACCTATTCGTACCATCTCGAACATACTCAAAAAACCTAAAGACAAGATCGAGAAAGAGGCTTCCAGATGCATTGTTTACAAGATCAAATGTAAAGATTGTGACTGTGTTTATGTTGGTCAGTCATCACGCGCATTAAAAACACATGAAAGAACACACAAAGGCTATAGCAACATTGGACAAAAACTCTTTATTGGCCAAACACCATATGCTCAA